TCTACTGGGCTGCTGAATCTCGGGACGGTACCGCAGGGTGTGTGGCCTCTTTTGAGCTTCCACTTCCCGTGTAGAACTTCTCTCTGTTCCGTGCGCTCTGGCCCTGGCTGCTGGATCACGCAGTGGCGGCCCCACAGGGTATGTGTTTTCTGCTGAGTCTCCGCCACCCAATCCGGATGTTTCCCCACTCTGTGCGCACTAGGTGGGGCTGTTGGACCTTGCAGAGGCGGCCTGTAGGGTGTGTGTTTTCTGCTGAGTCTCCGCCTCCTTAGCTGGCCACCTCCCCACTCTGTACGCTCAGTACTGGGCTGGGGCGTGTCTTCTGCAACCCTCGTCTATCAGCCGGGACTTCAAGCTCCTGCTCAGCACTGCCCTGCCCAGGAAGACTTTCAGGTTTCTGCTAGGCGCAGACTGCCGGCCGCTCTGGGTGCCTTTGTAGCACTGAATAGGGCTTTTTCTGGACTTCTCACCTTCCTCCTGGTATTGCAGTTATTTGTGTATTTGCCTTATCTCCCACACCAGGGCAGGAGCTCCTCGGGGGAGGAGCCCACAGCACACAGTTCCTCTTTGAATCTCCCCAGCGCCCGCCTGCAGTTAGCTCTCCAGCAGGTTCAAGCGAGCTCGGGAGCACTCCGGCCACACCTCTCCCAACCAGAAATTGGTTAGGGTTCTTCCAAACTGATGGCCACAGAGACGATATCTGCCTCCCGGAAACAGGAAGTTTACCTGGGGCCGGAGCCCAGGGTGCGGTGGAGTGACAATCAGGCCGGCCTCCTCTTCCCTGCCCTCCCAATGCTGGCCGGGGGCTCCCCACGCCACCAGTCCCGCCAGAGATCCGTGGGGGGAGTGGGATGGGAGGCCGGTCCGCAGGCCCCGGGAGGCCCTGCGCTGGGGCAAGCAAGTGGCAAGGCTCAGTGAGGAGCCGCGCCGAGCGAGGAGGGCAGGCCTGGCCGAGCCGGCCGGCTCCGCCCCCACCTGAGAAAATGGAGGCAGCCCTGGTGCTGGTGACTGGCCTGGTGTGGCAGGCGGAAGCCGGATGGGCGTCTGCCCCGCAAGCAGGGCCGGGCTGGGGGTCACTCACAGAGCTGGGCCGGCCAGGCGGCTTCCTCTCCATTTCCGTGTCGTGGCTGCCACCGTCCTTGGCCGCTGCCGCCTCGGGCTGCTCACTCAGTCCCGCGGCGCGGCTCGGGCGCTCTCAGGAATCTTCTTTTGTGTCGGCCCTAAACCTCGAATTTGTAGTTGCTTTTTTGTCGCTGTAGATTAGTTGCTCAATGACTTATTCATTTTTTGTTGCTCTTAGAAATGCAAATAGCACTCTGGCAGCACAGCGCACACTTCTCAGGCTCACGCTGTCTTCTGGCGCCCCCGCTCCAGACCCGTCGCCATCTTGGTCCTAAAAAGTTTGTTCATCCATGATTTAAATAGTTAGTTTCTGAGGCTGGGAAGTCCAAAGTCCATCTGGTGGTAGTGACAGCAACCCAGGGGTCTCACACGAGTGGAGAAGCCCGACGGTGCTGGTGCCGCCGACAGACACACAGGAGCCGGGTGAGCCGGGAGAGTCCATGGGGCGGCTGTCGTCCCAGGCAGGGCCTGGGCTCTGTTCTTTACATTTAAACATTCTAATTTACTCCTGCCATGTTATTTAGTGTCGATGAGCCCAAATCATCTCAGAAAAGAGAAGACATGTGCATAGCAGATTTATGGAATGAATGAATGAATCCATAGGTGGTGAGCTTCTTTACATTTAAACATTCTAATTTACTCCTGCCATGTTATTTAGTGTCGATGAGCCCAAATCATCTCATAAAAGAGAAGACATGTGCATAGCAGATTTATGGAATGAATGAATGAATCCATAGGTGGTGAGTTAGTTGCACAGGGATGTACATACCAATTTCTATGGGGCCAGAGCATAGACTCTGCCATGTGTTGCTCATAATCTAGGTGGGATCCAGCCACATCAAGGTTGTGAACATTTGTCATTTTTGCTCTCCCAGTGTCTCTTCTGTCTTCTTTTGATTACGGCACTTTGGGTTTCTTTGGGAAGCCACCTCTCCCTCACTCTCAGTCCATGTGGTTTGGGTGAGGCTGACCCCAACTCCTGCTCCAGCTATAGGCATGAGACCCAGGTCTGCTGCCCCATCCCCAGCATTCCATCCCACTGGCCACAGAGATTGGTTCAGGGATAGGCATGTGACCTAAGCTGGGCCAATAGGGGCTTTACCTAGGACTTAGGCAGGAGCTATTAGGAAGGAGGAACTTTCTTTGCTCTGGTGGATTAGCAGACAGGACCGAATCCTGAGCAGGGGCAGTCATCTTTGCCACCATAGGGGAGGAGCCTGCTTGAGTGAAACGAACCCAGGAAAATGCAGAGTCAGAAGGAAGAGAGACACAAAGTCCCAACATTATCATCTGAACCCCTGGACCCTGCCCTGAACCCCTGTACATCTTGGTTACAAATGCCTAAAAATTCCTTTTCTTTTTTTAACCTTAAATGAGTTTGATTAGATTTTCTATCTTTTGAAGCCAAAACGTCCTGACTAATATAAGGGTTTCCTAAAACTCTTGTGTCATTAGAAATGAATGTGCTTAAGAATTTTTTTTAAGGATTCTAGAATTCTTTAGGACTATGAGTCACTACATTCAAACCTCTCTTAGAGAGAGAACCAACATTTGAAAACCTTTGGCCTTTTGTTCTCAAATGGGTTTCAGATTACATATTCTCAGCTGTGGATGGCCAGGGAGTCGAGGGAGCACTGGCTATGGAGTCCAACAGACCTGGGTTGGAATCCCAGCTACACCAGCTGATTGGTGAATTATCAGCAAGTTACTTATCATCCTGGTCTTCATTGTTCTTATCTGAAAAGGTGGGGAGAGGTAATATGAAACCTGTTTTTGTGGGGATAATGGCTTTTTTTAAAATCACAGTTTGTAATTACATATTTGTGTGATTATTTGATTACTGTCTGCAAAGATCAAGTCTACCAGAGGTGGGAAAGGGGGATGTGGTGTTACCGAGAAATTGGCAAAGGGCCATAAAAAATGGTTACATTGTATAATGATGAATATACTAATTATCCTGATTTGATCACCATATATTGTACACAGGTACTGACATTCAACTCTGTACCCTACAAGTATGTATAATCAGTTATGTTTCAATAAAAAATAAGTAAATAAAAGAAAATTGGAAACCATTAAAAAAAAAAGATCAGGTCTATATGGCACTTTATTTCTCAAACTAAGGAATGCATGGAAAAGGAGGTGCTTAATAAACATTTTATGAATAAGTATATAAATAAGTGACTAGAGAAGACCATGCAGGTATGTGCTTGGCACATAATGGATGGGCAATAAATACCAGTTTCCTTTCCTTTTGGACTGGTGCTTATAAACTCCAGTGCCTACATGGGCCAGGCAGGTAATGAACTTGAGGTAAGCTGGCCAGATGTGGAATTGTGTGTGTCCTTTCTAAATGGAGAAGACATTACTCAGCTCTAACCAAGTGTTACTCCTTGGTAATGTGGACCTAGAGTGGCTAGATCTTTCAAGAGAAGCCAGAAATTAGAATTTTTCTGACTTTTCATCATGGGTACAATTAAACACACATACATAAACAGAAAGTTTAAAAACAAAAAACAAAAAACCCCCCCAAAAGTCTGAAAGATGAATTTAGCTCTTGGGTAACCAGCTCATTACAGTTGGGACCTATGTCCGGGTCCACCCTTCAGGTACGAGCTCAGACCACGGCCATGAATGAGCACATGGCAGTGAGTATACGTACTGGCAAGTGACTCAGAACTCTGGTTGGGGACGTTGTGAGATGCCTCCTGGAGGACGTAGGTGGACGTGGAGAGGGGCGAAGGGCAGATGCTGCTGGCCGGGACGTAAGGAGGGTTGTAGGATGAGCTGTAATACTGGGAGTACTGGCTCTGCGGGAAGCCGGCGTAGGAAGGATAGTCCTGGGAAGAGAAAACATGAACAAGAGATATGAGTGAAGAAGGCTGTCTGGGCTTTGGCCTCAGTCAGCCCAGCCACCCTGCCTCTCTCCCCATTAGAATAAAAACTCTCTGAGGGTAGGGACTGTCTTCATTTCGGTTTTCCCTGAAGCAGACCCTGAGACCAGGATTTAAGTGCAAGTGATATATTTGGAGTGACAGAGACACCAAGAGAGGGGTGGGGAAGTGGAACAGCAAAAACAAGAGAAGGCAGCCAATACAGGGGCTTCTGCAGGGGTGGTTGGAGCCAAATCCTGCTGGGGAAAAGCTGAGATGTATAACCCTCTCTCAAGGGGCGAGGGAGCTGGGGTTTTTATACACCAACTTGTCAGTTCCTGAGAGTTGCTCTCAGGGGGTGTTAATTCCTGGCACATCCTGCCTGCCCTATGCACTGATTCTAGAAAAAACTTTCAGGCCCAGGGATGCAGATCTGGCAGCTGGAGGTCAGCAGGTGACCTCGAGGGATATGTAGCCCTGAGAGCATCTGTCTAGGTTACTGTTGTATCCCCAGCACCTGGAACAGTACCTGGCACATGTAGTAAGTCAGTAAATATTAAATAAATTAATGAACAAATGAATGGATAATAAAGACCTCACACACACACATACCCAGGAGACCAGGTGACATTTTAGGTGCATAGGGGGTGGGGTTTGCAAATACAGCAGCACCTGTACAGCATTAGGGTCCAGAATATTGTAGGAGGAAGTCATGGAGATCAAATCAATAGATGCCAGTCCTCTGATCAAGCTTTGCTTAAACAGATGAGATATTCCAATTCTCCCACAATAGTCATTGTTCCAAATATTCTGTCCATCATCACCAAAAAAATTGTGCTTCTCCACCCTGCAAGGAACTTATGGAAAGTTCAGCTTGCAGCATCCCACTCCAGATCTCCTGAGTCAGAATTTCTGGGGAGTAGTGTTTTTGACAAGTTCTTACTGTGAAATGGACAAACACCCAGAGTTAAGAACCACACCTTAAAAAGTACTGTTTTACAGGGAGAGGTTGGTCAATGGGTGGTACAAAATTACAATTAGATAGGAGGAATAAGTTCTGATGTTCTATTGCACAGCAGGGTGACTGATTAACAGTTGAGTTTTGTGTATTACATAACTGCTAGAGGAGTGGCTTTGAATGTTTTCACCACAAAGAAATAAGTGCATGAGGTGATGGTTACACTAACAACCCTGACCCGATTATTATGCAACATATACACGTATCAAACATCAGATTGTATCCTATAAACATGTACAATTGCAATATGTCAATTAAATAAAAATAAAAAACAAAAAAGTACTGTTTTATTTTCAAGTATTTATCTATGTATGTAGTACACATAGTACAAATAAACAAAATAATACAAAATACATGAAACAATTTTCATATTTTCCAAGTTTTTTTTTTTTTTTTTTTTTTTTTTTTTTTTTTTTTTTCT